AAAATGAGGATACTGTATAAGAAATAATTCTCACCACGAAATAGTGGTTATGTGATGGATCCTATTCTTTGTGAGGATAAGTTATGGAAATTGGTTTTAATGGGGTCTTTGTGAGGATAAGTTATGGAACAGTATAAGCAATGAGCTTAAACTGTTCGACAGAATGCCTCAGTGAGTTGGAGTTTCAGTTATCTCTGTTTCTCATTATAGCTATTAGTAATCAATGTATGAGAAATTGATCAGTTATTACATTAATTTAATTTTGATGGAAAATATGTCTGTTTATGAGAGGAAAGCTCGGAAATGCTAAGAATAGGAGAAGAAAATTGGGTCTTGCTTGTTTCTCTAAATTTGAAGGCTTTCATTGGTTTGAGGAGATGAACGGTTTCTTCTTTGAATTGACAGAATTAGTTAAGAGAAAATTGACAAGAAAAGATGAAATGTCGGAGAGATTTTCTTGATCCCTTAACTCTTTTGGCCATTAGTTTTTCTCTCTTTGATTCTTTGTTTCTCTCAGAGTAGCATTCACTCCGAAAATGTTGCAATCTAAAAGACAAAATAAACTCTCTTTTTCTCATATGATTCAATGACATGAAGACAGGAAGTCACAGAGTTAAGAAACATTGCAGATTTCTTCTTCATGCTGCTTTCGATTGAATGGTTTTAGGTTTTGTAATTTGGTTTTTCTGCATAGAGGTCATGATTTTCTCTTGTGTATGTATACAGCTATAGGATTGTTGTTTAGACAAGAACATATATGTTTTGAGAGGGCATATATATAGGTCTTTAGAAAAAAGTTTGAATAGTTTAACAAAATGAGCAAGGAACAAAGTTGTGTTCTAAAAGCTTGGGAGGTGACGGTGAGAAAGACACAACAAGCGAAGAAGCGAGCAAACAGCATTTTCKGGACGGTATCGGTATCTCCACAGACAGATGATGATACTACTACGACTGAGGAGAATGATGACGAGACTAGCACAAACAGCACAGGATTGTACCAAGCTGAAAGAGTACTTCCTAATGGAGACTATTACACAGGGCAATGGTTTGATAGTTTCCCCCACGGGCACGGGAAGTATCTTTGGACAGATGGTTGTATGTACATTGGTGAGTGGTATAACGGGAAGACTATGGGGAGAGGGAAGTTTGGGTGGCCTTCTGGTGCCACATATGAAGGCGAATTTAAAAGCGGATATATGGATGGTATTGGCACTTACACAGGTCCTAGTGGAGATACTTATAGAGGTCAGTGGGTGATGAACCTGAAACATGGACATGGGATCAAGAGTTTTGCAAACGGAGATGTGTATGATGGTGAATGGAGGAGGGGCTTGCAAGAAGCACACGGAAAGTATCATTGGAGGAATGGGAGTTATTACATTGGGGAATGGAAGAATGCTATGATTTGTGGCAAAGGTACATTTATTTGGACGGATGGGAATAGATACGATGGGTTTTGGGATGACGGGTTTCCCAAAGGAAACGGGACTTTCAAATGGGAAGATGGGAGTTTCTACGTTGGCCATTGGTCTAAAGATCCTGAAGAAATGAACGGTACTTATTATCCATCGGAGAACGAAGAGAATAATCTTGAATGGGATCCGAAAGACGTGTACAATAGTCTGAGTGAGTACAAGATCTGCAGTGGTGAGAGAGTTCCTGTATTGCCTTCACAGAAGAAGCTCTCTGTTTGGAACTCTTCCAAGCGTGTAGAGAAGCCGAGGAGGATGTCTGTTGATGGGAGGGTAAGTGTGGGTGTAGATAGAGCGTTTGAGAAGATGAATATGTGGGGAAGTGAAAGCGGTGAAGGCGCTGCTGATATTGATTCTACAACGAGGAGGGATTTGGATGCTGAAATGATGAGACTAGAGGCCGAAGGCTTCATTCAAAGCTTAAGACCGACCTCTGCACCAATGAGATTGCCAAGAGCAGGGAGGAAGCAAGGGGAGACAATATCGAAAGGCCACCGGAATTATGAGCTTATGCTCAATCTACAGCTTGGAATCAGGTAAATATCCGAGTTCGCCTCCTCACTATGAAGCTTTGTTGATGTGTAAACTCACATGTTTAATGATTTTGCTTACGCAGACATTCTGTTGGAAAACAAGCTCCGGTTGTGTCTCTTGACCTTAAGCATTCGGCTTTTGATCCAAAGGAGAAGATATGGACAAGGTTTCCACCGGAGGGAACCAAATACACACCTCCTCATCAATCTAGTGAATTCAAATGGAAAGACTATTGTCCATTAGTTTTTAGGAGCTTGAGGAAGCTATTCAAGGTAGACCCGGCTGATTACATGCTATCGATATGCGGGAATGATGCCCTTCGGGAACTATCATCCCCTGGTAAAAGTGGAAGCTTCTTCTACTTAACAAACGATGATCGTTACATGATAAAGACAATGAAGAAGGCTGAAACTAAAGTGAGTTCTTTTTGTTCCAAAAGTTACCAGTTTAAAAGTGTGTGGCTGCTATTAACTTCAGGAATTATATAATGCAGGTGCTTCTGAGAATGCTTGCAGCATATTACAACCATGTTCGAGCATTTGAGAACACTTTGGTGATTAGATTCTACGGTCTGCACTGTGTGAAACTGACTGGACCAATCCAAAAGAAGGTAAAGAGGCGATGCTAACTAAACTAAAATAAAAAGTGTGGCTTGGATTTTGATTGAATTCATCTCGTCTATAACAAAAATTTGCAGGTGCGGTTTGTCATTATGGGAAATCTATTTTGTTCAGAGTACTCCATCCATAGACGTTTTGATTTGAAAGGATCTTCTCTTGGTCGTACAACCGATAAACCTGAATCAGAAATCAATTCAAACACAATCTTGAAAGATCTTGATCTGAATTTCATTTTCAGACTACAAAAAGCTTGGTACCAAGAATTCATCAGGTTAGAGACCATCAATCCATTTCTTTCTGTTAACCTTTTTCCCTTCGCCGTCATTTATTATATCCATTGTTGTTTTATTCAGGCAAGTCGATAAAGACTGCGAGTTTCTAGAACAGGAGAGAATCATGGATTATAGTCTTCTGGTTGGGATTCATTTCAGAGAAGCATCAGTCGCTGGAGAGCTGATTCCTTCTGGAGCTCGCACGCCTATTGGTTCGCACTCTTGAAAAACCGAAAATTTCATTTCTCTCCATTTAGAGTGCATCAACCAACAATAACTTTTTCTCAATTGCAGGTGAATTCGAAGACGAATCCGCCCCTCGTCTCTCAAGAGCAGACGTGGATAAGGTTCTATCTGATCCCACAAGGTAAACACAAACACAAATTAAACTCAAATACTTAGAAAGCAACTTCTCGATTTCGGGTCCAATAATAAATTGGTTTGCTGTTGCAGATGGGCTAGTATCAGACTTGGAGGAAACATGCCGGCTCGAGCAGAGAGGACAATGAGGAGAAACGACTGTGAGTTCCAGCTAGTTGGGGAACCAACAGGAGAATACTACGAGGTTGTAATGATCTTTGGAATCATAGACATTCTTCAAGACTATGACATTAGCAAGAAACTCGAACACGCCTACAAGAGCATTCAATACGATCCTACTTCGATCTCAGCCGTTGACCCGAGGCTATATTCGAGACGTTTCCGTGATTTCATCTTTAAAGTCTTTACTGAGGACAATTGAAACAAGTCTCCTCTGTTTCTGGTCTTCTCATGTTTCTTGTGGCCCAAGATAAAGAGCTTTAGGTTTATATATACACATACTCACATTTCGGCAAATAC